AATTTACAACAGAAAAGAATTTCAATTTCGCCATATCAACAGTTATGGCAATTCTAACACCGTTTTCATTTTAATTAAAGCAATAGAACAGCGGCAAATTTACAAGGCCTTGAGAGATGATGACGCATCGATAACTTGTGACTGATTTGTTGGCATATTGTGGTGAAAATCTGATTTACTGTCGCAATCGAATCTTGAACTTTTCCGCTTTACTCCCACCTTTGACAAGTCTCTGCAAGAACTTTACTAATCTCCACATAATGCGAGCAAGTTCCTTGACCTTCAGACTGATATTATACAACAGCTGCCAACTCACATCTTAAAAATACAGAGAGAAAAAGATAGAGAAGTTCACGTTGAACAATATTCGCGTGGAGTAAAGCTAATAACAGTAGACCAAATTTCGCACAAATCAGCGACGCATTTAAAACAGTAATTCCCCTCCTATTGGAAACCATTGAGCTCTGCAAAGTCTGGTATTTATGCGGATAAAAGAAAGCTAGAAGGATTTTTGTTAACTTATCCCGTTTATCCAATAAAATAAAAGAAACTGATTACCTACTCGACGAAATATCTCGATATTTCAAATTGTCTGAAAACACCACAGCAGCATCAGGATTAGATTCGGAATTTTCACTTGCCCGATCAGCAGTCGTAGAAACGTCTAATAATAGAATAACAAATTCAATAAAAGGATAAAAATATGTTAGCCATAAATTTAAGATAAAGTCCGCCTGAAACATTTGAAAAGCAAACAAAACACAAAGCTCACATCCAACTGTTCTCATTTCAGGAGTAGAGATACACTTCTTCATGTCTTCTGAAAAATATCGCGCCAGGCGCCGGAAGTATCTGGAAAATACAATGTGATCTTCGGGACCTTGAAAATGATATGAATAATAACAAATAAGAAGTCAGTTTAACTGTCTAAGACTATAATGAACTGAACAAACTTTTGCTGCTGATGCAAAATTAATTTTGTTGGCACTCGATTTCGTTTTAGCTCTCCATCCCACTGAAGATCGACAAGTCCACCACGCATAGCTATTTCTTTTTTCACGCGATTAGCGAAATCAGTAGCATTTTCATTGGGCTGAAAAACACTCCCGGCGATTAAGAGCAAAAGTCCATACTATATTCCTTAGGCACTAGCTACGTTATAAACCATAAATTAGAAAAAAAAAAAACTTTTATATCGGGAAATCGAGTAAAGTGACTTTAAACTAATGAATAATCAAATTAATGAGAATTCTCTAATGCGCCAAAATACATTCTTGAGATACAAAAATTTATTTTTCTGTTCTGTGTCTGATTTCGTTGTAAGATTGCCATAATTTGTTTTATACGTTGGATTTTAAAAAAAAATCCACTTCGTTGCATGATGGAAGAATACTTACAAATTTCTTCATAGGCTCCAGATACCAAACATCACATATAATAGCCCATGAAGTAAACATCCGAAAACAATTCTCAAACCAGCCATGTTGGCTGCTATTCCAAAATGGATCACCAAAACGAGAATCGTATTTCATTGCAATTGGATAGATTGTTGTCCCAACCTTAAATATTAACATGTTAACGTCAAGCCACATGTTGACGAAAAGCTGCTTGAGATTTTCTCAAGTGTGTTAATACCCTGTGTATTTAAACTATTCAATTCTTTCTCGTACAAAATTAAAGCTTTAGTATCCCTTTCCCACCTATTCTACAGATTAAGCAATTAGTGTCATCACTCACCAGTTCTCTCAGCTGGCTGCATCAATTCAAACCAAATGTATTTCAGACATCGCTAAGAAACGAACTGACTAGATAATCACTGATGTCTTGAACAAAGATTTAAGCAAGACATCTTAAATTAACAATATGAACATTATTTCATTTATTATCAATATTATGAATAAAGTATCAATAAAACATGCACCTCAAACGATCCTTTCTTGAACATCATCACTGATGTATTATTGATGCATGTGCCTTCAGGAAAAATCAAAATTGGAAGCAAATTCTTATTATCGACATGTTCTTTCAACCTAGAATTAAGAAGTATACAATAGCCCGAACAAGACTATCCCCAAGCAAAAGCCCTAAAATTCTCCTCTCAAAGTGCTTTGAATTACATGCACTATGTTTTTATGAACTATAATTTGTTTGTGAATTTATGCTGTATCTTATATGCAATGTATCGGTTTAGCGATTATTCAGTCCGAAAAATCATATAAAAAATTTTAAATGGTTTACTTTTCTGCAACAAATGAACGATCTCGAGCTTCACCTCGTTCAAACCATATATGAGAACTTGCTCTACTAAGGGCGCGCTGCAAAATTCCAAGAAAACCATTATGACGCTGCCCAACCAAATCATACGCACAGTCCGTACTAAGTATCATTACATCTATCGGTGACGTATGGTTTGCTACACATATTCCTTAAAAAATCATTCACCTTGACAATCATATAGGAAATATTTTATAGACTAAGAATAATGTGAGTTATATTAATAAGAAACATTTACCTCCATTTCGAGCCCGATTTTCACGATTATTGAAAGTGATGACGGCAGACACGCAACTAGATAAAATCTGATGACCGCATAACATACAACGTTCATTGAACCATCGCTTCTGCGGTCCCTCTGGCAATAACCCAATTACGGCTGTACTAACAATCATGAAGCTAACACCAGTGAATAACAGAACCAAACGCGTCGGAAGTAAAACTGTATATCGAAACAAAAAACCCAGCGCCCAAATAACCGACAACTTCCAACTGCAAAAAATGTGGTAGGAAAATGCGCTAATACCAGATAAACTAAGTCAGGTTACAGAAAATTTCAAAGCATACTTGATAAATTGATTGAAAGATAAACTAGTTCGAGTAAGCATGTTCCACGAGACCAGCTGTTCGGCTTCAAACCGACTGGTCACGTCATCTTGGATAACTGCCTCAATACCTGCCTGAAATTATTTATAAGACTCGCAAGAAAAATCTCATCTTAGAGGTAGACCAAATTACGGCAAGAACATAAAGAGAATAATAACACACCTTTACACAATCAAGTTTACAAGTAAACATAAACATCTGTTCTAAAATACCCGAATAAATTGGACTAATTTTGAACCAATTGGTTCCAATAAAAAACTATTGACCATGCTATAGCTATAAGACTATGAATTGCAGTTTTTTGAACTAAAATTATGCCTAATTGTTCACTTATGATATTCTGTCTGCTATGATACTTGATGTAAGACCTTGACAAGATGCATACTATCGCGTACAACCGCCCAACCCCGAATATTCGCAATCTGCTGTCCATTTTCATCATCAAAATGCACCGATGTCTCTCGAAATATTATCCCTGAAGAAATATGTCCAGCATTATCTTTACAGTTTTAACTGTATGGATAGTAAAGAAAAACTTTAGCGAGAAAATTTACTTACTTGGTCCGGAATGTCTTCTTTTCCGACCTTTTATTATCTTCCCATCAATAAAATCATCGTCGAAAACAGTCAAATGCTCCAGCTCAAGATCCGAATCATCCATATCACCACTATCATCTCTCACGCACAGATTTAGTGAACTCTGACTTTTCTCCCTAGCTGATAAGTGTATTTGTCGAGCGCTCCACTATAAACCATTTTTACTTTTTAATGAGTCAATATCAAAACACAAACAATCTAATTCTTTCTGGTCAAACATGAAGCGTTTTTTTACCATCTAATAGTTATTGTGTTGTTAGGATAAAATATTACCTCAAAAATCTTGAGCAAACAGCTCACATAGTAATGGTTAAAACCGACAGATTGACCAAATAAAGAGAGAGTCACAACCGTTAAGACCATTAATAAAACAGTGGGAAGGAATATGGCACAAAACAAAATAAATAAATATTCTGCTGTGAAATCTATCATCGCGCTTCGACTTTTTCCGATAATAGCGAACGTGGAACTGAACATAAAATGAATATTGCATCCACATTAAACTAAGAAAAAATATGAAAATATATTGCCACCACGAGTATGTAATATCGTACACCACTCGTCTTTTTGCAGATATATTAAAATGAGTTAGCCAACTATAAAACAAATAATGCATACATGAAAAGTCAACGGTAAGCTAATAATGCCACAAAGTAACAAGAATCGCAAATTACCAAATGAAATTACGAGTATATATGAACTGGAATTTTAATAATTTAGATAGTCACAAATAAGTGACAGAATGCATCACGGACATATCACTCGATTTAAGTTGACGAAATTGACGAAGAAAATACCCGACGTTGTGGGTGTTAAGCGATAACTTCCTGATGTTCCAAATCGAAAATTGTACTATATGAAATGAAATTTAAAATGATTCTAAACTCCTCATCGATTGCTAAATGGAAGTATAACCTACCGTAGAATTAAAATGCACGCTGATATAGGAATAATTTACTCATAACGGCATGCTTGGAAGCAGTGTCTTTCCTAATTAATGCCGGTGTATGATGACGAAGCAGTGATCCGGGAATCTTCAAGAGAATCCATTATGTTAACGAGTTATGTTACACTTCAATATACGATAAGGTTAATCTAAGAGAATGGCACTTCAAGCTATATATCATCCATGACTATACATCGTTATAGCGAGCCTTACTCCAACGATGAACTTTCACCCCAGCACCGTAACAGTCATTCCATGGTTGTCACATTTGTCTTTAACTGGTGCATCACCGTACGAGTAGTACTTTGTTACGCGTTTGATTCTTTTATCCTTTAAGGTTACGAAAAGTGCTCTGTTTTTATTGCATCGCAATTTTACTCTCGAATATCAAAGTTCTCGCAACTGCGTGAATTGTTTTTTTCGCAGTAGAGGAGTGTTTGTACGTATTTCGACACATTTCATATCATGTATTCATGAGAATAAAAGTCTGCTCAAAACTGTTGCGAATCCAAATAGTGTACTTAGAAAGGGTACAAACCACCACACAAACCACGACGGATGTTGCTGATTATTTCAGTTCATCTTTTTTATTACTGAATGGAATAGTGAAATAAGTGAAATTACTATTAAAAATGAGAAACAGAAACTTGTCCAAACACATATATGCGCCTGACCAGTGAACTGAATTCCACAGTTTTGGAAAAATGATAGAACAATATGGATATTGAAAAAGGATGTATAATGAATGAAGAAGCGTAAACGTCAGGTGCAAACGGATATCAGAATATTAAAATACCTGCGAAGCACAAAAGCGAACAAATGGCTCGAAAAATATCGCATTCTTGGAGATAATTACATGGAAAATAAATGTTGTACAACTTACAATTAAGAAGACGCATTTGAAATCCAAACTTACATAGGCATCATTAAAATATTGAAATTGCGAATGTTTGTAGAATGGTAGATGCAAAATTGCTTAGAAGTGAGAAGAGAAAGAAAGTTACACTGGTACAATTAAGTGAATTACTAATTCAACAGGTAAGGCAAAAACAGGAAAAAAATCGAATCGTCAAATAGACTCTACGTGGTGCTCATGCTCTAATACTTCACAAATAAAACAAACAATTCTGGAAGGCAACGACGAGGCTACTGAATTATAATTCCCCTACAGATCAACTGTTAATAATACCTCTGAAATTTCGACAACAAAAAACTAAGAGCAGTGGCTCAAAGAACCATCGTAAATCTGATTTCTCCGTATTCAAATAAATGGTTAAATCAAGTAGTTATTATGAGTGCATATATACTACCAAAGAAAGGTCAATGAAGACAAATGCTAATTTAATTACAATGAATGATAACAAAATAAGAATCGAATCTTCAGCCCTGCACAGTAAATTACTGCATTAAAAACTTCAATTAGTGAATAACTTCAAATTGAAAAAAGTCCTTAAATGCGCACAAAAAAATACGTGTGGCGTACAAGTCCACGAACGAAATCCTTTCAAAAATGTGGGAAAAAATAAATAGCATCAAAAGAAGCAACAGTTCAATATCAAAACAAATATAGAACCTCTTGGAAAATAATTGTTCCTCACAATAAAGTGAATGAGAGAAAAGATGAGCAAGCTTCCTGGCAAATGATTAACATAAAACGTGAAGGCACTAGAACTATTTTCAGCTCTGATTTCGAACAGCAAGAAGTTTGGATAAGCAGTAAGTAACATATTTAGCAGAAAAAACAGTTGTAGTCTACATCAGCACTTGAAAAGCTTAGCTTAGCAACATATTCAACAAGAGAATTGGAAAGGTCCGTGCAATGGAGTTAGTCGGATGGAAATACTATTACTTTTAAAAAGAAGAGTGAAATCTGAATTAGGAAACAGAGCTGCGGATGTACTGCACTTCAAAAGAAAAAAAAAAACAAATCTACAGGACTTATAATCCATGATTTTTCTATTAGATTAATACACAACCATTACCATATGAACGAATGACAGCAGAGAAAATTAACTAGGACCTAATACCAAACGATCGAATGCAAAACCGAACAAATTTTGCAGGTATTATATTTCCCAACAATCTGAACCATGTCGATGCGAATTTTTCAATGACCAAGAAACGGCGAAAAAAAGAAAACAAATAACGGGATGATATTGCTCAGGTTCCAAAGAAAGCAGTGACCTATTTTTTATTTCTTTCATAACTCCATCATCCCAAATTCTTAATATTACTGTTGTTTTCTTGCTGTTGATTTTCAGCACGTATTCGCCTTCTTGTCTCCGTAACATCGACCAATTTATCCAAGCATCCAACCGCGCCAAAATAACCCTGTATATCGAGAACACTTACAATAAATTTCAATGAAAAACATAGTATCACTGATAAAGGACATCTTAAACTAATGTGGAATGAGAATCATTAGTCAAACGACTCTTACTTCATGTATCAAAAATAGTGCTTTTTTCGTCCCCTGTGACCAAAAATTCATAGCATTACTCAGCAGTCTTGCAGCGATGGGATTTACTCTCAGAAAATTTCCTGAAATGCCATTTACGAATAAAATACGTCAATGTTTAAGAATTGCAAAGTCAAAATTTGAGACCAAGATGATGTATTGTAATGAATCGAATTAATAGCATACAAAATATCCAACGTTTTACATAAAAGAAAGTTACCAACAAAAACAATCCGATCAATTCCGCAAGTTTTCGCTCCATTAAATGCAATTGAACCAATATTGTTTGTTGTAGTTACGAGTGCCGAACGTGCAAGATCTTCAATTCGTGCCTTATCACGATCCTCCTTGTTATATATTTTCCCAAAGCTGTAATTAATAATGAAACTAGGCAGAAAGTGACGGTATTTCGAGAAATGTGTGTAAATATCACCTGGCAGCAATAACATCGCCTGGAAGTCCCATTTGATCATAACCTGAGCCATAAATATCCTTCACAAGCTTATCAACGTTCTTATTGTCTCCTCGTGACGCTAACTCAATCGCCTCTTCAAACGTTTCACATCCGCACATAATTGCACACAGACCTTGAAAGAAACCACCACCAATGCTGAAATTATGCGTCCAGTATAGACAGATAGACAGATTGATTAGTTAATAAATTAACAAATCGATAAATTAATAAATCAACAAATTAATAAATCAATAAACGAATGAATAAATAAATAAACAAGTAAATAAATAAATAAGTAAATAAACACATAAACGAATGAATAAATAAATGAATAAATACAAATATGTAATATATATACATATTTGAGAATTATGTAGTCCTGAAAACTACTACCTGCTGCCTCCAATCCGCTCGAACTGATTATGCCCACGTACAGCTAAGACAGATACACCACTACCAATGTTGCAAACGATGTATGGATACTGCAAGCCATCCTTCTTTTCGCTTTCCGGAACGAAATCCGATGTTGAACAGCGACCGTGTGACCACCGCCTATAAATCCCAGGATCTTCGAGAGCCATCTCAAAATTAAATAAAAGAAACGGTTACTGATCGTATATAACATACCAAATTACTTTTTTACATAAGGAGTCATCCAAAGGATTCTCATAATAATAGCATTCGTCGGGATTTGTTGCAGCAATAAATTCAATACCCTTGATCAGAGATTCCAGTTCATCTGTTTTGTGCAATTGCAAACCCAAATCCTGAAAGACTGGTAAAAACAACTGGTAATGGAGAATTCTAATGAATATTACCTAATTGTAATGAAATTCAATAATGGGGTGAAAGTGATAAAATCCTATTCAACTAATTTTTTTAAAAGGAATTCCTACATATCGAAAAAAAAAACAAACAAACCGTTGCTTCTTTAGCATATTTTAAAGAGCCGCCCCCAGTAGCACATACCGTACTGCTCATTTCGGCGAACCCCTTACTCTTAACCAAATATACAAAATCAAGCATTCTGTCCGTTGGAAATCGAATAAAATGTATTGTGCCAACTCTGCCCTGAAAAAAGAAATGTAAAAAACCAACAGCGGACAAATGCAGTATTTAAACGCCCGGTATCGTATTCTCTACTGTCTTTCCAAATCCAAATCTACCATAAACGGAAATGACTAATTCTACCATACAAATAAATATAAAACAACTTGGAATACTTTAGGCACTGACCACGTTTGTTAAAAAACATTTCTTGATCAAATCTACTCCACTGTGAGGATTCTGAGACCTCTAATCCATACATTATTAAAGATAAATGACAAAAAAGAAACAAAAAGATTCTAACGATAACTGAAACCAACATTGATTCCGACATTACAGAGACGTAGATGATCATCCCTCACACCAGTACCGCCATAGGCTTTGCTTGCTACAAGATACCGTTGAATTTTCCTACGCCGTAAGACTTCTTCTTCATTTTCAATAAAATCATTCTGCAATGCAATGATAAGTTATGACAGTGGAAAAACTGCCATTTACAGAAACTAGTTCTGAATATGACATTATTGTCCAGTTTTGTGATTTTACGTAATTTCTGCGTAGTTCAAAAACTTGCATGATCTTCCGGCTCGAAGTAAACAAGTTTGACCAACGTGCCTCCTATATCAATACCAAACCATGGCATTGCTGAAAATAATTTTCAAAAAAATGAGAAAGAACAAAAAAGAAGGGAAACAAAAGGCTGGATCCCAATCTTAGTAATATTTTATTATATCGCTATCAACATGTTTCGGGAAATGAAGTATAATGGGACACTCAAAACATACTTGTTTTCAACGCATATATCTCATCATATCGCCACCAGTACTAAATCAAATATAGAGATTAATTTATTTAAGAAATCGGAGAATTTGTTTTCCTTCACTGGTTCTAGGCCCAATCAAACAGTTTTCTAATATAACTATGGATAAATTAAAAGACAACATTGAACACCATTGGTTGCATATTAAGTATGTAGTTAGGTGACAAAACCAAAGGAATTTCATCACAGACATGACTTGTAATTCAGCTAACCCAAGAAAAAAGACAGAAATCAAAAATTAGCAACAAAAATACAAAACTTCACTAAAAGCGACAGCTAAGATTCACCAGGAATCTTACCGAATCGTCCTTAACCAGTATCACAGTTAGTTCGACACTGATTTTGTAAACACTCAGGAGAACGTGAAAATATGTACCGCAAAAATCATGCAACAATGCGCTTTTATGCTGACAAAAGACCAGTATCACATTGGAAACTATCAGTACCTCCATGGAGATCTCTGTTACATAACAGAAATTGCGATAAATTGAAATGAGTTATAATGCGGTATAAACAGGAAAAGAATGGATATCTGATAAATAAGGATACAAACTACACGAACTACAAGCTACGCATAACGGATACTAATAAAATAATATACCAATGTAAGAATATAGTGTAGCAGAAGAAATAATTTTTAAATAGCACATACTAATTTGACGGCAAAAACTTCTCTTGTTTCACGGCCCAGCATATGATTAAAAGTTCTAAGAGAATTGCAGTACACTTCGCCATATTTTTAACCTCGCAAATTATTAAAAAGATAAACAAAGCTCCCTACTTGTAAAGTGGGGGAACAAAGACATTTCATTCATAAAAACCGATACGACTAAACCATAAAAAACAGCTGCCAATCGTTTCAACTCTATAGCATCAACAGCGGCAGAGAGCAGATGCTTTAAAAATATGACGATACTGTTTAACTTGACTGAATCTATCAAAAAGATGGAAGGTAACTGAAATCCAGCTTGTATTTTTTTTCTTTGTAAAAAAGTTTTATTACCTTCTGGAAAATTATTAACTAATGTCAAGCTATGTTAATTACACAACAACTTGAAAACAAAAGTTGGACTATTTACCCGGTTGAATACCGAACCACTTTGAAAGAACTTACGAGGCACAGAAAGTGAAAGTAATCTTTGTCTTCGGCGAACCACTCCACAGTGAATATCTTTCACATCGTCGTTATTCTCATGCTCATCCGTTTTTACATCTTTAGCAACCATTGTATCATGTGTAGGACCATCGCCGGACATGGCTGCCAAAGTTCTCTTAAAATTAATCAAATAACACTGATATGTTTAAAGTTCCCAAACAGCCTGCTCAAATCGCACGTAATGGAACATTTTATTCTAGCATCATTCATTTTCGGCTTACATGATCAGAGCACGAAAAATCACTGTTGCTACATTTCCTACATAGACGGCTTGTAAGGTTTTACAACAAATTAATTATCTCTAACATTTCCATCGCGTATAGAGAATCACATAACATCTCCATTGGGCGCCTCATGATGATGTAAGGAAATACCAAAAATTTGCACACATCATGAAGGGACAGCAACATTTAGAAGCGAACTGCTGATACACAGATCGGTTAAATTATGCTTAGAGAACGGAATTATACATCCTTGTTGGAGACCAATGCGAGCAACTGTTTCTGCTTTGAAGTTGCCTTGCCATCATTAGATGACCAGCAGTCAGTGGTCAGCCAGCCTCGAAAATACAATGAATAAAAAAGACAAACGCGAAAGGACAATCAATGTAAACGTGAAAGTAAGATAAATGCAAAATGTCATCAAGAACAGAAATTAGGATGGGAAGTGTCGAGTGCATTCAGTGTGAGAAGCTAAGAAAAGAAAGGAAGGAAAAAAAATTATACACAAAATATCGCTTGTATATGATTTTCCCCACACAAAACTGTTGTTTAAGTCAATTCAATGAAGACACAACATACTTTCTGATCTTTTCAGATTAAAAAATATGTCCATGCCGGATATCAGTTAAGTAAAGAATTTCGGCAAGTGTTTGAAAGAAGCCTTCAATTAACTGATATTGGCATAAACAAACGACATTACCGACAGTTAGACGACACACACTTCGATGAGCAAACAAGGTTAGAGTTTCCTATTCGAACGATAAAGTTATATAGTAATCCACAAAACTGAGAGTAACCAACCAATGAATAGACACATCACCGCCATTCTTTTCACCTCCCTCCCCCATCGAGAGAAATGCTAGACAAGGTCAGGCCAATATGGATTGCAACAAGTGGAGGTAAACAATTGGTCTTATCTAAACACAATTAATGGCCGGCCGCTGTGAAATACTCCACGGCCATTGCGACTGAACTGGTTGGAAGATGTAGGCAACTTTCCACATATCGCAGTCGGCCACAGAAGCATCGAGGGGGTTTCAGATCGTTGTTCTCCGGATAAACTGTAATATGTAAGGTTTCTCTGTGTTGAGTCTAGTTAGGCTGTAAGCTTCACTTCTAGTAATACCTTCAGTCTAGCTAGAAATCCGTGAACATATAACAAGGACTGGGAAAGCCTTATCATGGTCAATGCTACTTTTGTAGTGCTATATAATAAACAAGCAGTAAGTAATGCATCATCATATACAACGCTTCCGAGAAGGACATAAGGCATTCTAACTGATGTCACATCGAATGCTTCAAATTGGTGAAGAAGTGCGGTTTGGTGCTACTCACTTATAACCCTTTCCATCCGACCAGCAAGGTGAACATAGATATTTTCCCAGTGAACGTCTTGATATTTTATCGGCAACAGCCTCCTGCAAAAAATGAATTCAAGTTGTCACACCTAAATAAATATTTTTTTATTTCCGAAACGTAATAACAAATTTGACTATGAACATTATCTTGTCGTATCATCTGTGCCACAAATTTCGGTTCTTACTAATAATTGCTTTTATACTTCTTAAACTTTTCGAAATGTACTACTTTACAAACCTGAATTAACCTGAACTATCGGTTTTCATTCCTACTCGGCAGTGTTTTAATCCCAATTCCAAAAAAACAGAAAGCGACAAAAAATGTCTTTAAACATGTTTTGAAATGTATCTGCCTTCTATCGATTGCTTGTATAAAATTAATAGGAAAATTTTACATTGTGTTCAAATTTTACTCGCTTTTCATATCGGTTCCTGCTTGAAATAATAAGTCGAAAAACTATGAGCGGCTCCAGCAGGACAGGATTCCAAAAAAATTTTTTCAAAGTGACAATATACGTTTGGGAGGTTATTCACTTTTAATAGCGTATTCCATGCCTTCTTGCCTATTTACTATGAATGTAATGAAAAACGAATGTTCATCCTATTAATATCCTAAGATTTCAACTGAACTTATACTCGGTAGTAATAAGCTCATCGGTTTCGGTGCAAAATTACCTTTACGGAGTGCGTTGTTACAAACTGGTAGCAGTAATATACACAGTCTGTTTTTGTTCTTTTCTGGATCAGCACTGGTTTTTGGTGGCAGGTTAAAATGCTAAAGGTAATATTTCTTCTAAGTTTTGGATCCTTTTTCGCTTTCTAACAATAGTAATAGGGAGAATTCAGAAAAGATCAAGAGGCTAGTTTTTTGTTATTACAACTTTTGTTTATTGTATGAATAATAAGCGTGGTTGTTCGCGATCATCAGGGGAAGTTGTTTCAGCTGTTAAAGTAAGCGCGAATGGGGTAATAAGCAGTATTTTCATATTTTTCAGCTTCAAAGTAAATTGCTAGAAAATGACAAAATGTTCATCACTACTTGCTGCCAAGGTGTTTGCATCGTAGGTGTTTGCATCGTACAACATTGCAAGCAGACATCATCCTAAAGTGAATCAACGAATTTAAATTTTATTCTTGCTAACAAAGAAACCGCTAATTGACATTACTAACAAGTAACAAAGAATAATTGCGAAGAAACAATGAAATGATTTATATGCATGTAAGTTATTGAATTTTGTGGATTAAACAGAAGCATAAAAGCATATCAAAACAGCGAAAAATTTACTCCTTAAGCAGAGTGAATTAAACTTTAGCAGGAGATGGGTTGTTTCATCTTTTTAGAATAGATTCCAATGATCAATTACCAAAAATTTTTTAAATCACATACGACGACTTATGTTAAAAATGAAAGAGTGGAAGAAATTACTTGAAGCTAATTGAAAACAACGATTCGGCCATGTACTTTACATTCCTCGCCTCCAGCTTATCCATCATTTTGGAAAGTTACCACTGATAAAATCACATCTATTTATATCATATCCCATCTAAACCGTTTTATTGACCAATAGCATTTTCACTCGCAAAATTTGTGGAGGACGTCAATAGACGACTCTAAGGTTTCCATTTGCTAAGTACTATGCCTTTTCATAAACGATTTTTAAACTGTTTAAAGAGACATGAAATCAAAATTCGAAATTTGGTTCCTATTAATCTTTGGTTTAAAATTAAAGTCATAGACTTTAGCTTTGAAAGCTTCCTTCACCAGTACATTTTAACTTAGTTCATTAGTGGCTGTTCTGTTGACTAACTGACTCACTAGGGTTCTTGAATGATGCAATCTATGTGATAGCATTTCAAACTTTGAGTCATTTTTGTTACATGAAATAAATAGTGCCAATGAATTGGGAACATTTGCATCCGTAGAAGTGAAGGAAGTTGATATGTTCTAACAAATGAATTTACTGCTTTTAAAAACATTACACCCGAATGCATTCTATGATCATTTTCCCAAATGTCTTCCAGTAAACTCATTCAAATTTTGACATTTAATTAAATGGATGATTGGAGCAGATGTATGATTCAAAAAATCATAAAAATTGAAAAAAAAAATGACAATGCTCAGAAAAAGGGCAAAGAAAGACGATGGTGAAGAACACCAATTTAGGGTTGTGTATACTGATTTTTCACATTTGTGCAGGGTAATTTTGGGAGCTTAGACTTTTTCATGACGATGTGAAATTGTCTCGATGGCAAATGACATAAACCGGACATCTTTCCTGCATTTATAATTATTTCTTTCAAGCTTTTTTGTTTTTCTTTCAAATATTATTATTATTATTATTATTATTATTATTATTATTA